CTGCCTCATATCAGAGAATGGAATAATTTCACACTAGCATATGTGAATGAACTTTAAAATATTTTATTTCATCGGCCACAACCAACCAAATCAGAACATACTATCCCACAGTCTATGTGGACAATTTCTATAAATGAAAAATCTAGTAAGTATTATGTGATTTGTTGATCAATCCTTGAATCCAAAACTAAATTAATATTCTTAACTTACATATTCTAGTCGAAAATGATGATGAGCTTGAAGGTATGCGACTATATTATATTAATCAAATGTAATAAAATAATCCTAATAATTTGAAAATTCAAAGATGATTTAGTTAATACAGATCAATGTGAAGAAGATAAAAGAGAAAAATACAATGGTAAATACTAACTCTAAAAAGAATAATGCTATTTTGTATCCTATTTAGCATTTTTTAATATTCAAATCGACTTATTTCAGACGTTTTAGTTATAATGCCAAGGTAGATATGAAAGTTCTAATAAATATTACAACTATCTCATCTACTAACTGAATTATTGATTTTCAGTATATTAAATATCGGGTTTTCACTACGTAAAGGGTGGGCATTAAAAGGCAATCAAAAGTTAGGCAATAGAAATAGTGGTAGTAGAATTAAGAAAAATATTAAAGATCTATTGAAATACTTCTTTTTAAACAGTAATCGAAGAAGTCAAGATAAAATGGACGACCAAGCAATGCATGACAAACTTCTAAAATATGCTAAGGCTAGTGAAATAGAAAAGGAGAATATCCTACAAACTACAACAATACGTAATTGGTTATTCTCATACTCTCGTAATTTTAAACAAAATACTGAATTAATATTATAAATAAATAAAATCTACATGTCATTTTACAAATTAATGAAAATAATTATCTTGCATATCAAAAGATCAACTACTATAAATAGCCAAATAAAAGATCCCCACAATATCAAATCCTCTACATACTATACCCAGATGCGAATTACAGAATCTATAGTATAATAATAAAATATAATTTTTTCAAATATCTAAACTGCCTATTAGAAATAAAAAATATACATGCTCTTTAAATTCTTCTTTTAATGATATAAACTCTTAATTCTGGATCTAATACAGATTTTAAAATTGGTAGAATATAAGATTTTTGGGTTTTTATTTAGCGCTAATCATTTATAGTACTTGAGGCTTTAAATTATTATTTTGTGTTAGTATTTAGTAAATTAAGTTGCAGAAATTCCAAAAAAAAGTCTTAAGAGAATACAAATACCATGTAATGCTATCTTTTTATTTAAAATCTAATTCAAGTATGCTTAAGTATGTGTCCTCTTCTTAATATGACTTTGGTGAAATGTCTAACAAAGAGTGCTCTCAAGCATCTAAATCAATAGAACTGAGTTCAATTTTTAATTAATGAAAAATAAATTATTCGGTCAAGCAAGTTCATTATCACAATGAAAAAAAAGATAGAGTTGTGCAATGACAAAATTATCGTAATGTTTACTTCAATTAATCGTAATACTTGTACACGATCTCTATAGCTAGCTAATTATACTGAAAAGGATGCTTGAGAGCACCCAAAATCTATTCTTGTTATTAATCTATCTTTAGTAGCTAAAGTTCAAAATATTTATTTAAAATAAGGTGAAATCACAGCATTAATATATTTTATATACCCAGTAATCTAAATATATATAACATAGTAAATGCCGTGTGCCTCAAAAGTAAAGTTTTTGTAGAAGAACT